GGCGTGGAACCTGCGCGTGCGTGGGCTGTGCGCCCGCGTGCCTGGGGGCGGAGCTTTCTCTCCCACGTGACTGCCCCGCGGGATGCCGGGAGCGGTGGGAACCGGAAGAGACTCTTGTGTGTCGAGGGAGAAACCGAGGCCGGAGCCGCGTGTGGCCGGGCTGGTGCCTGCAGAGCCGCCGCCGGCTCCGGTCCCCAGTGTCTCACCACGTTCAGTCCTCACATTTAGGCGGTGGTGCGGATGTGTGCAGTTAGAGGGGGCGGGGGGTCCTTACAAGTTGAGGTGTGGCCCAAACATTTCAAGGTGTAATTTTTGAACTTGAAAATCATTCTTTGGACATTTCAACTTCCCAAGTTCTGTTGCTTCTGTGGGGGCTCAGATGGAGCCACCCCAAGGTGACCCCAGGGCCATGTGGGTTATTAGTTCAAGGCGACCGAGTCCTGCGCCCTGAAGAGAAACTTCTGTGTCAACCTCCCATTATCTATCCGAACCCGGCCTTGCCCATGAGAGATGGTGGCAGACCGCCTCCGGAAACCTGTCTGTAGGCGGGGAGACTGCTGACTGCTGACAGCTGCCCTTAGGGACCTGCAGGGCCTGAAGCCCCAGGCGGCTTCCCTCACCCTAGCTCAGATGCCACAGGCACCCATTGCCCCTGGCTGTCGCTGAACCTGTGGTGTGAGCGGTGTGTGTGTGTGTGTGTGTGTCTGACTCATGCACTCCGGGTTCCCATGTGAATGTAAAGCATTTGGTTATTTTCTCTTGCTAGTCTGTCTCTGTGAGTCAGACCAGTGAGAACCTCCGTGCCAGGGAGAGTTGCTGCCTCCTCCTCACTTCCAGAGATGCTTCCCGCTGCAACTTTGTAATAATTGCATTTTGCTAAAAGGCTCCAAGGCTGGCGTTTGTGGGGTTTTATTTTTTTATTTTTGTGATTTGGTTGGTGAATACCAGTACTTTGTTTTAAACTGAACTGAGGCTTAAACTTATGAACTCCAGCTGATGAGGGGCACAGAGAACAACATTACTGCCCTGCGGAGGTTTTTTTTTTTTTTTAACTTATCAGCTTTGGCCCACACAGTTTGTGGTTCAGTTACTCCATGAAAAGCATACTTGAAGCCCAGGTCTGTATGGCTCAGTTGGAAAGTTGTCCAGTGCACCAAAGGGTGGAGGGTTTGATTCCTGATCAAGGCACATACTCAGGTTTCAGATTTGATCCTGGGTTGGGGCATGTAATGGAGGCAACCAATTGATGTTTCTCTCTTCTCTCTCTCTCTCTCATCCCCTCTTCTTTCCTCTCTAAAAAAAACAAAAAACAAACAAAAAAAACACCCAAAAAACCTTCTTGAATGTATCCTCAGATGAGGATTGAAAAAAATACTTGTAAAATTTTGCCAAAACCGGTTTGGCTCAGTGGATAGAGCGTTGGTCTGCGGATTGAAGGGTCCCAGGTTCGATTCCGGTCCGGGGCATGTACCTTGGTTGCGGGCACATCCCCAGTGGGAGGTGTACAGGAGGCAACTGGTCGATGTTTCTTTCTCATCGATGTTTCTAGCTCTCTCTCTCTCTCTTCCTCTCTGTAAAAAAATCAATAAAATATATTAAAAAAAAGAAAAAAATAGTTGTAAAATTTTGACAACCATGATTTTTAATTCAATTGGTATAATTGAACAGCTTGTTTGGATGAAAGTATTAACCACATCCAGTCCCACGTGCCTTTCAGCTCCATGGGGTAATGAATTTACCAAGAATGTTAGTCTGTGCTGGGCCACATCCCATTTTTTATGGGCACTGGCGGCCTGGTGCATGGATCTGTGCACATTGAAAGGAAATTGATTAGAAGAAATTTTAATATTGCTATTCACCCTTTATAATAGAAGTGTCAACCAAATTCATGACCAACAAGGACATATTGAAACACACTTGCAATTGGCGCCAGAACTTCATATGTATCGCACATGTGATGTTTATATTGCCAGTGCACGTCATATGTATAGGCTGGTCAGTAGTACCGTTGGTCACTTAGCCTTTTATGTATGTAGATTGTCATTGCCAAAAAAGGGGCCCTTACTATTCAACGTTTTAACTGAACTTAGCTGAGCAGCATTCACAATAATGCTAGTTTTTCACTTGGAGCAGAACATACTTCAGATAGCTTCATTTTAGTCTCACAAATTGGATGAAATGTTGGAACTATCTAATGACTGATACAAATTGGCTTCAACTCTGGGACAATTCCTCAGCCAGTGGGGCCAGCACATTAATGGGGATGGTTTGGCTTTTCAGATGAACACAAGAACAATACCTTCGAGAATGCTTTCAGTTCATATTCCCTGAAGTTCCCATAGACTTTTATTTAAAAATATATTTTAATGATGTCAGAGAGGAAAGAAGAGGGAGAGGGAGAGAGAAACATCAACGATGAGAGAGAATCATTGATCGGCTGCCTCCTGCATGCCCGCCACCGGGGACTGAGCTTACAACCTAGGCCTGTGCCCTTGACTGGAATCAAACCTGGGACCCTTCAGTCAGCAGCCAAGCCAGCGGTGGCTATTTTCATTTTTTGAGATATGTTTTTATTGTTTTTGAGGGAGAGGAGGGAGAGAGGGAGGGAGGGAGGGAGGGAGGGAGAGAGAGAGAGAGAGAGAGAGAGAGAGAGAGAGAGGGAGAAGGGTGGGGGAAGGGAGGAGAGAAAAACATTGATGTAAGAAACACTGCCGAAACCGGTTTGGCTCAGTGGATAGAGTGCCGCCTGCGGACTGAAAGGTCCCAGGTTCGATTCCGGTCAAGGGCATGTACCTTGGTTGCGGGCACATCCTCAGTGGGGGGTGTGCAAGAGGCAGCTGATGAATGATTCTCTCTCATTGATGTTTCTAACTCTCTATCCCTCTCTTTTCCTCTCTGTAAAAAAATCAATAAAAATATTTAAAAAAGAAAAAAAAAAGAAAAAAAGAAGAAAAGAAATATTGATCCTTCTGTACTCTCTCCACCCAGGGATTGAGCCCCACAACCTGGGCACATGCCCTGACAGGGAATCGAACCGGTGACCTTTCAGTGAATGGGCTGACGCCCAATGATCTGAGTCACACTGGCCAGGGCGTTCCTCAGATTTAAATCACGGTGTTCCCATAGCTCATGTGGACTATTAATATAGTTTGTAAAATTGTTTCTCCTTCTGTTCTCCACGTTATTGAGGAGAGTAGTGGTTATTAGCCTTTTAGGGTTGAGAACCTGAGGAAGCCATGGCCGCGCGCGCGCGCGCGCGCGCGCGCGCGCGCGCGCGCACACACACACACACACACACTCACACACACACACACACACACACACACACTCACACACACTCTCACACACACACACTCACACCATTGGTCACGCATCTGGTTTGGAGGGGCCCACGTCCCCGGAGGCTTGCTGGCCGTGACTCCCAGGTGAGAGTCCAGCAGAGGAACATCTCCGGTCCGAGGCCAGTCATGAGGAGAAATGGGACTCGAACCCCGACGTTCACTTTTCGGCAGCCCCTCACGTGGGGTGCCCTCCACCTGCAGGTCTCACGTTAGCCGCGCTGCCACCCAGAACCCAGTGTGGCCCCTTTGCTTCCAGCCCCGACGCAGCCAGGCGTTTCTGAGACCACCATTTTCTCTCTGAATCAGTGACCGTGGTCCTCCCCAGCCCTCGTGACCTCTGATGAGCGTGCGAAAGGGAGTATTCCAGTTCTCCCCCGGCCCGCGCCCGCCCCCCCCCCCCCCCCCGCCCGCCGCCCCCCCCCCCCCCCCGCGGCCTGCCGCCCCCGCCCCGCCCCCCCCCCGCCCGCCGCCCCCCGCCCCCCCGCGGCCCTCCGCCCCCCGCCCCCCCCCCCCCCCCCCCCCCGCCCGCCGCCACACTCCAGGCAGGAGCTGGGGCCACCTGTCTAGGGACGACCAGGGGCTGGACAGGGAGACAGGCCTCTTTCCGGAATCCGGGGCTGGCTTTCGGGAACGGGGACGAGGGGAGGGCAGTGTGGCCCTGGGGCTCCTCCGCTGACCATGACCCACCCAAGTGCTGACCCCAGCGGGAGTTGGGTTTGGCAGAGAAGGCGCTGATGGCACTCAGGGGACTTGCCGTACGGAGATGGGTCATAGCAATGGCATTCCTGGGTCCCAAGCCCTCGTCTGGACAGTAAATCCACCCTGATCCGCCTTGTCACCAGCTACCCCCCTTCTGGAACCTCGCTGGCCTGCCTCCATCCTGACCCCCCACAGGGTGCCGTGACCTTCTCACCCGAGCTCAGAGCTCATGCAGGCTGGGCATTGTGGAGGAGGAAACAGCCTGGGGGGGGAGGGTGTCACTGTAAGATTCTCCTGAGCTCCTTGGGATTTGAATGCCTGCTAACCCTAAAAATGCAGCCACCTCCTGCGCACGCCCTGTGCCTGGTGCCCGCGGGCTCCTGCTGGAGGCCTCAGTGTGTGCCATCCCAGGCGCCTGCTTCCTGGTAAGTCTGGTCCCAGACTCTCCTTTTTAAACAGAGACTCCAAGAGGGAGGGGGAGGGAGGCAGCCAGCACAGAACAAAGAGGGCTTCGCTGGGACTGGGCCTCCGGCCCCAACCCCAACCCCAACCCTGACCCCGGGGGGCGGGCACTTGCCTCCCTGGGCCTGTCTCCTTCGCCAGTAAAAGGAGTGGGTGCTGGGCCAGTGTCCGTTGGGAAAGGCTTGCTTCCGGCGGCCATGCCTCCGGGTCAGACACAGCCCCTCCTGAGGGCGAGTTCAGGCCCTGCACCCCGGGGGGGGGGGGGAGGGGGGGGACAGGAGGGGAACCGCCTCCATCTGAGGGCAGCACTCCAGAAAGCGTCAGAGCCCAGCCCCAAAGAACCGCTCCACAGCGCGCCCCCGCCCCGCCCCGCCCCCCATAACCGGGTGCGGCCCTGGGCGCAGTGACGAGCTGGGGAAGGGACCGCTGGGCGCGCTGTTGGTGGAGACGAGGGGTCACGGGGTTCAGAGGCCTTCCCTGAAGCACCCAGGAGTAGAGTCTGTGTTTGTATTTATATTTGTACACATAGAATACTCATCTGCAGCCCCTCCCGGCTCCTCTGTCCCCCAGAATCCGTGGAGCTGACCATAGGGCAGCGTGTCCTGGGCCTGCGGCCGGGGGCCTGCAGTACAGACGCCCCTCGGGCGCCTTCCCCACTTACCAATGCCCTGCAGCGCCCTCACCCCTTCTCTCCGAGGCCTGGCTGGGTTCTCCCATCATCCCTCCCAGCCTCGGAGTATCTGTCACTTGAGGGGCACCGGCAGTCTCCCGGCTGTGCTCTGCCAGGGCCGCCTGTGTGGCCGGGAGGTGCAGGGGGCCTGGCCCGGGAGCAGCAGGCGGGGAGGGAGGGGGGAGCAAGCTGCCGAAAGCAGTTTCCCAGGGCGCAGTGGGAGCGGCGTGGCTGGGCTGGGGTCTCTGCCGGGGTGGGTCTCCCCTCGGCAGGCTGGCCAGCGCTTCCTGAAGGGCAGCCCAGGCCACGTGGAGGCCGTGGAGCTTGGCTTCCGCTGGGGGCAGGCCCCCTCACCTGCAGGGGCGCTGCGGCAGGAGGGGGCACGGCACTACTTGTAGGGCCGCAGGAAGCGGGACACTTTGGAGCGCAGCAGCTTGATGAAGGAGCGCGGGAACATCTCCTTGGACTCCTGGGCCGTGACCTTGAAGTAGTTCTGGGGGTGCGCCAGCACGTCGAAGAGCGCCTTGATCAGCTTTTTGTCCTGTAAGTGTAAGACACGGCCGGCCGCGTGAGGGCGGGATGGGCTGCAGGGCCTGGCCACCCCCTTCTGCAGGGCCCTGGCCGCCCCCTCTGCAGTGCCCGGGGCGCCTGAGGGGGGCTGTGGGGTGTCTGCGGGGCAGCGGGGAGATGTTGGCTAGCTGGTGAGTTTCAGGAGCCCCCACTCTGCCATAAATGATTTTTACTTTTATTTTTTAAAATATATTTTATTGATTTTTTTTTTTACAGAGAGGAAGAGAGAGAGATAGTTAGAAACATCAATGAGAGAGTGTCATTGATCAGCCGCCTCCTACATGCCCCCCACTGGGGATGTGCCTACAACCAAGGTACATGCCCTTGACCAGAATCGAACCCGGGACCTTTCAGTCCGCAGGCCGTTGTTCTATCCACTGAGCCAAACCGATTTCAGCTGATTTTTACTTTTAATTATTGAATCAAAAAACCTATTTTTATTGATTTCAGAGAGGAAAAAAGATGGAGAGGGATATAGAAACATCAATGATAAGAATCATTGATAGGCTGCCTCTTGCACACCCAGCACTGGGGATCGAGCCTGCAACCCAGGCCTGTGCCCTGACCTGGTCCTGAACCGTGACCTCCTGGTTCATGGGTGGATGCTCAACCCCTGAGCCATGCTGGCAGGCTCCAATTGGTTTTAAGAGTCCACAGGGGGAGCGTTTGAGATCTTGCTCCCGGCATATGTCAGTTTGGCTCAAATAAACTCTTAAAAAAAAAGAACGGTCCACTGGTTTAACTTGTGGAGTTGCAGTACTCCTTCATTTAATAAGCATTCTTCTGCAGAAGACAAGGCAAAGCAAAGACTGCCGGAAACCAGACACGGAGCAGAGAGCACGGGCTTTGGGGCCGAAGACCTGGATTTGAAACCAGTTCCAGAACCTGCTCCCTCGCCAGGGAACAGCCCGCCCCCTGAAGTAACTCCTCTGTGAGGGGCCCCTCCTCTCAGGGCTGCACAGGGTGGGGGGTGGGGGCGCGGAGACAGCAATGAGCAACAGGCCATCCGCTCAGCGGCACCCTGCCTCGGGCTGCCTCCCGCGGCCTCTGCATGCTTTGTAGCCGGATCCCTCTTGGATCCTAGGGGATCAGGTCTAAGGGGGCGATGGGACCGGAAGGAGACCCTCAGGGGCAGTGAGCCTGGCTGGGGTGTGCCGAGGGCCCCGCAGAGACCCCGCGTGTGGCCCATGGAAGGGGCTCAGCGAAGGCAGCACCAGGCCCGGGCTCGTCACATGGGCAGGACCCAGCACACACTCGTGGCCTCTTACACACGTGCGTGCGGCTTCCCGCCCTTGAGAAACACTGTGGCTCCTGTGTGCCAGGTGCGCTGCCAGAGGCCGGGGACAGAGTGCTGGGGTGGCCCTGCGCCCGCCACAAGGAGGTGGGCACCCAATACTGTCACCCAGACACCGAGACTGCAGGGCTGACGGGAAGGCCTGGGACTCTGAGTGCGACCTGGCCAGGGAGGGCAGAGGCTGGTGGGCAGCACTGAGGAAAGAGGCTTGGTGAGTGGAGGTCAGGGTGCGGAGGCCCAGGCCCTGCGAGCAGGCGGCGGCCATGCTGGGCAGAGGGCCAGGCGGCAGAGGACAGGTGAGCGGAAAGAGGTGGCGCTGTCTCCAGGACAGACTGACAGGCCAGGATGACCCTCCGGTTCCCGCTCAGCAGATGGGCCCACGGAGGAGAGGAGCGCTCCGAGCCCGAGCCTCAGGTTTGTGGCCTCTCCGCTCACACTGCCTGCCCGCTGGGGCCGAGCACAGGCGGGGCGGGCGCTGTCTGCAGGGGCTGAGCACAGGCGGGGCGGGCGCTGTCTGCAGGGGCTGAGCCCGGGGCCCGGGGCGCTGTCTGCAGGGGCTGAGCCTGGAGCCCGGGGCCCGGGGCGCTGTCTGCAGGGGCGGAGCCCGGGGCCCGGGGCGCTGTCTGCAGGGGCTGAGCCCGGGGCCGGGGCGCTGTCTGCAGGGGCTGAGCCCGGGGCCCGGGGCGCTGTCTGCTGGGGCTGAGCCCGGGGCCCGGGGCGCTGTCTGCAGGGGCGGAGCCCGGGGCCCGGGGCGCTGTCTGCAGGGGCTGAGCCCGGGGCCCGGGGCGCTGTCTGCAGGGGCTGAGCCCGGGGCCCGGGGCGCTGTCTGCTGGGGCTGAGCCCGGGGCCCGGGGCGCTGTCTGCAGGGGCTGAGCCCGGGGCCGGGGCGCTGTCTGCAGGGGCTGAGCCCGGGGCCCGGGGCTGGCCTCTCTGGTGAGGACCCAGGGTCTTGACCTGGACAGGGTCAGCTGTCTGACGTCGCAGCCCCTCTGTGACAAGGTGGCTCTGTGTCTCGGCCAAGGATGGGATTAGGAGGGAGTCCGTCCCAAAGGTGCACTGGGTTCCATGAGTTTAAAGGTACCTCTGTCAACCTCCTTACTCCCCAGAGGAAGAGGGGCTCGGAGCTGGAGGGACTGCCCCGGACACCCCCGCCGGGGGCCTGACCCCACAGGGAGCCGGTGCTTGAGCTCCTGGTCTGGAAGGACAGACGTGCCAGTCTCAGCCCCACCCCCGGGCCCTCTGACCCCCACCTTCCCTCACTAGGGGGGTGGGGCAGGGAGGTCCCTGGACCTCACAGCCTGTCCTGGGACTGCACGAACCCCTTCCCATAGGGCAGCCCGCTCACCTTCAAAATCTCCTGGTGGTTCTCCGAGGCGTAGAGCCGCCCGTCCCGGACGATGTCCTCGATCAGCTGCTGGTAGTCCTCTGTGGCCCGGAGGAAGGAGGCGGTGAGGGCTCCCGGCCCTCGGCCCGCTCCCCGCAGCCTCTGCCCCCCCTGTGCCAGCCACAGGCCCGCTCCCCGCAGCCTCTGCCCCCCCCGTGCCAGCCACAGGCCCGCTCCCCACAGCCTCTGCCCCCCCCGTGCCAGCCACAGGCCCGCTCCCCGCAGCCTCTGCCCCCCCCGTGCCAGCCACAGGCCCGCTCCCCGCAGCCTCTGCCCCCCCTGTGCCAGCCACAGGCCCTCCGCCTCCGGCCTGAGTGCCCTGCACCCGCCCTGTTCTCCCTGAGGTTTGGTGAGCTAGGAAACTCCAATTTAACCCTCAAACCCTGCACCAACTGCTCCCTCCTCAGCGCCTCGGACCCACGTGGGCCTGCCCGCCCCCCAGGTGGAGCCTGAGGCCGGTGGGATGTGGCTGGGTGCGGACTGGCCGGCCTGGGCACAGGAGGTGCCCACGTACCGTCGTAGGTGACGTAGGGCACCTGGAAGCCTTTCCCGCTGTTGGCCTCGTTGGACTTGAACTGGATCCAGAGCTTCCGGGAGCGGGAGGTGAAGGCGATGGGCCGCTCGTAAGTCTGGCAGGTCTCGTAGGTGGTGATGGACGTGGGCGAGGCTGGGGGTGAGGACACGCCAGGGACCAAGTGGAGTTTTCTATCAGACTCTTAGAATCCTTTTGCATCCTTGAAACTCTTAACTAAGTACATATTAAATATCGTAGAGCATAGGGAATAAAACACTGACCGTGCAGTCAAATATCTAAGTTCTCATTCCTTTCTCCCCTCCCTCCCTCCCTCCTTCCTTCCTTCTTTCCCTCCCTCCCTCCTCCCTCCCTCCCTCCCTTCCTTCCCTCCCTCCTTCCTTCTCTTTCTTCCTTCCTTCCCTCCCTCCCTCCCACTCCTCCCTCCCTCCCTTCCCTCCTTCTTTCCTTCTCTCCTTCCTTCCTTCCTTCCCTCCCTCTTCCCTCCCTCCCTTCCTTCTTTCCTTCCTTCCCTCTCTCCCTCCTCCCTCCCTTCCTTCTCTCTTTCTTTCCTTCCCTCCTTCCTTTCTCCTTTCTTCCTTCCTTCCCTCCCTCCCCCTCCTCCCTCCCTCCCTTCCCTCCTTCTTTCCTTCTCTCCTTCCTTCCCTCCCTCCCTCCTCCCTCCCTTCCTTCCCTCCCTCCCTTCCTTCCCTCCTTCCTCCCTTCCCTCCCTCCTGCCTCCCTCCCTCCTCCCTTTCTTCCTTCCTTCCTTCCTTTCTTCCTTCCTTCCTTCGCTGCTCCTCCCTCCTCACCATGCCCACGACCCCTCTCTCTAGCCTCCACACTGTTCCCTCTGCCTCAGATGCCCTTCCCTCCCTCACCCCCATGCCCAATGGTCCCTCTGAGCCCGTTGCCATGCCCCCTCCTCCAGGGAGCCTCCACTCTGCTCTGGCAAACCTTCATTGCAGCCTCTCCCTAGGGTGTCACTGCCCTGCCACCGAGCCTCAAGGCCGGGGCTCAGGCCTGCACCCAGCACAGAGCCCAGGCCGAGGTGAAGGCTCGGACGTGGGGAGACCCTCCCTGAGGGCCTGGGTGCCCCCTTCTCACCGCTCCCTGGGAGCCTGCCGGCCCTGCCCTTGCGGGGGGAGAGGCTGGCTCCCTGGAGCTCAGCCTGTGTGTGAACAGCAGAGGGCAGCGGGGCAGCTGGGGGCCGGGGGCTGGTGACAAGCACGGGCAGGGCCCAGGGGCCCAGGCCGGGCTCTGAATTCCCCTGGGAGCCAGGCGGCTCCGGCCCTTGGCGGCCTCGGTCCTATGGGAACGTGGGGTTTCCTGGCTTATCAGCTGCACTGAGGGGGCGACCCAGCGCCAGGGCTCAGCAGCCCCACTCCGCCGGTCTGCACCGGGGCAGCCGAGGCCCCGGGAGCAGGTGCGTCTGTGCGGCTGCCTGTGTCCTCCCGCCCTCTGACTGGGAGGAGCCCCAGTGGGCACCGCCGACTGGGAGGAACAGAGCTGGTCCTAGGGTCACTGGAGGGCAGCTCTGCCTCGCTGGCTGCGTGGCCCTCTGGGCTCACCCTGTTCTGTGGGGAGGGCCCACCTGAGGACTCCCCATGGCCACTGACGGGGGTGACGAGCCAGGAGGCTGGGAACAGGGGGAGAGGGAAGGGAGGGGCGGGCTGCCAACACTGGGCATCCTGTGTGCGGGCACACCCTGGCCCTTTGCCCCAGGCCACCCCAACTTCAGAGGAAGGCGTCTGAGGAGGAGGGGCCGCTCCGGGTCTCACCCTGGCCCGTGTGGCAGGACCGTGTGCGCTCAGGATAGAGACCAGCTGGACCAGGTCCTGACTCCCATGCTCAGGGTGCCCTGAAACTTTCCAGACCTTTCCACAGAACTCTACAGAGCCCGCGGCTTAGTCAGACAAGTGGATTCACACCAGTTTGGCTCAGTGGATAGAGCATCGGCCTGCAGACCAAAGGCCCCAGGTTCAATTCTGGCCAAGGGCACATGCCTGGCCTCTGGGCTCCATCCTCAGGGGGGGCGTGCAGGAGGCAGCCGCTCAGTGATTCTCTCTCATCACTGATGTTTCTCTCTCTCTCTCTCTCCTGCTTCCTCTCTGAAATCAATGAAGAAAATACATTTAGAGGAAAATGAACAAATAGACGGGTGAAGGGTGGCGTGTGCCGAGCCCGCCCCGGCACCTACCGCTCTTGCGCATGACCAGCACGTCTCCGCACTCGTCCTCGCTGGGCAGGAAGATCTCGGGGACCACGATGAGGATCCTGCGCTTGGGGGGCGGGGAGATGTGCCACACGCACTCGGCGTTGGCCGGGTAGTCGCCGGGGTAGTTGGGGGACTCGATGTAGCCCATGTAGTCGCCGAGCTCCCCGCCGCAGTGCTGGTCTGTGGGCGCGGGGGTCGGTCAGACCCGCTGGTGGGTGCCCCTGCCGGGCGGGGCCCTCAGCAGCCCCGCCCCGCCCCGCCCCTCCCACCTCTCCTAGCGCCCCAGCCCCGCCCAGCCCCTCCCAGCCTCTCCCACCTCTCCCAGCGCCCCCAGCCCCTCCCAGGCCCCAGCCCCTCCCAGCGTCCCCAGCCCCTCCCAGGCCCCAGCCCCGCCCAGCGCCCCAGCCCCTCCCAGGCCCCAGCCCCGCCCAGCGCCCCCAGCCCCTCCCAGCGCTCCAGCCCCTCCCAGGCCCCAGCCCCGCCCAGCGCCCCCAGCCCCTCCCAGGGCCCCCCAGCGCCCAGGCCGGAGAGCAGGGCCCCAGCCCCCCCAGCCCCGCCCAGCGCCCGCCGGGAGCAGCGCCCACTTTTGCAGCGGGTGATGTTGGTGGAGCCGTCGAAGTCGGTGCTGGTGCTGCCGGGGCAGGCGATGCAGTGGTTCTGGCCGAACTCGGGCTGGTAGGTGCCGACGGGGCAGCGGACGCAGCGGTGGGAGGTGGTGTTGTAGTGGTGGCCGGGGGAGCAGTGCACTGGGGGGTGGGGGGGCATTAGGGGGACCTTCTCCCTGAGGCCTCCTGCCCCTGGGGTCTCAGCAGAGCAAGGCCCTTCCCACTGCCCAGTGCCCTCCCCCTGTGCACAGCCAGGCAGAGCGCTCTGGGCCCCTGGGGTCTGGGTCTGAGTGTGTGTGGGGGGCGAGGAGGAGAGTGGGGTGCAGACCGAGTCCGCCTCGAGGCCCACATCCCCTCACGAGCATGCGGGGAGGAAGTGGGGGTCAGGGTGGGGTTCCCCAAGGGCTGCTGGGAAGGGACTTGGGGTCTGGCACACAGGGATCCTGGAGGCCGCCCTGCTGGGAGCCATTCTCGGGGAGCAGTGGGGTGAGTCTGGCTGGCTGGTGGGGGTTCAGGAGAAAATGGGGGAGAGGAAGTGGAGTCAGACCCTCGTTCTATGGGGCTGAGTCACAGGGGGGAAACGAGGCAGGAGTGGAGTGGGGGCACAGAGCTGGGCTGCTGCCCTCAGAATGAGGGCTCAGGGAACCCGTGTTCTCAGCACATGGGGGCGCCAGAGGGGCTCCCCCAGGCGTGCCTGTGCCGAGTGGGGAGGAGTGGCGGGGCTGCAGGCTGGTGGGCCTGGAGGGACGGGGTGTCCAGTGGGTGACTGACCTGGCCCCACGGCCCTGCTGCCTCCTGCCCCTCACCCGCCGCCTGCTGCGCGGAGCGCTCAGAGGAGCTGGCAGCCCCTCACCTCGGGGCTCGGAGCCCTGACCACAGCGGAGTGGGGGCCGCCGCCTGCCCAGTGTGTGCACAGAGCCGGTCCCAGTGCCCAGCCCGATGGCTGCAGACTCCCCTGAGCCGGGGTGTGGGCGGGAAATGGCCCCCGAGCCGCTCGGCCAGCCTGGGGGCCCTCACCTTTGGCCTCGCAGTCTTGGAAGGAGGCCGAGCCCTCGTGCTTGGTGAGCAGCCCCCCTCCGCAGGGGAAGCAGCCGGTGCGCCCGGGCTCAGGCTGGTACGTGCCCACGGGGCAGGCCTGGCAGGGCCGGAAGCCGTCAGCGGAGAAGGAGCCGGGAGAGCACTGGCCTGGAAGACAGAGGCCACGGCTCCCTCAGGCCCTGCCCTCAGCCTCTTCTGCCCCTGGGAAGGCACCGAGCACCCAGGCTGGGGTGGCTGGGGAGGGACCTGGGGGAGGAAGCCTGGGGTGCCGAGCCTGCCACCACCCATCTGTGGATGTCAGGGGCAGGAGGAGACGCTGGGTGTGTGGGGCCCGCAGTGGAGATGGGGTGTGGGGCGGTCACTTCTCTCAGAGGGACTGTCCCCGAGGGCAGGCCGCCCCGGGGCTCACAGCTCAGGGCTCACCCTGCGTGGCCGTGTGCCAGGCCGGGCCAGAGCGGGGGAGGGGATGGCCCCGAGCAGAAAGGAGAGCGGAGTGTTGCCTGGCATGGCCTGAGGGGAGGCCGGACTCTGGTTCTCTGTCCCAGCGGTGGCCACTCCGACTCCGTGCCAGTCCCATCCCCGCTGGGGGCAGGGACCGCCCTCTGGGCAGCCTGCAGACTCAGGCTCTGACCCCAGCACCAACCCGGGATCTCAGGCACCCTTTCCCCACCCGGGCCCTTGGGTGGCCAGGGGCGGGAGGCTGATGGGAGAGGCCCGTTCCACAGGGGAGTCTGAGCGGGCACCACATGGAAAAGCTCTTTGCAAACCAATGTGCCAGGCAATGGGCCCACGGCTTTCGAAACCAGCTGCAGGGCCGATGCACCGCTCCTGCCCAGGCAGGTGCCAGAGCATGGCCATGTGATTTGAGCTCCACGAGATGTACCAGGACTGGGCAGCCACGAAGCCCCGGTGCCTCTGCCACAGGCACAGGGAGCTGCAGGTGGCCGGGTGCTGTGGCTGTGAAGTCCTTTCGGGGCTGCGGGGCAGAGTGCAGTCGCCCTCGCTGACCCTCTGGGCGTGGACGCCTCTGGCCCGCAGTGCACCCTGCGAGCGGCCAGGACAGCTCTGCGCGGGGCACGGAGCTTTTCCAAGCCACAGGGCTCCGGCTGTGCTCCGGCAGCCTCAGTGGAGGCCATGCGGCCCGCCCCGCCCCGCCCCACTCTCCCCGCCTGGCTGGGCCCTCACTTGCCTCCACATTCAGACACGTTGCGGGCACCGGCCAGGCCGAGCCCGTCGCTGCTGGGGCACGGAGTGCAGCTGAGCTGGCCTTCCCCGTCCTGGAAGGTGCCCGGCGCGCACGGCACACACCGGCCGGAGACCCCGCGGAAGTGGGTCCCGGGCTCGCAGGCCACTGCGGGCAGAGCGAGAGGCTGCTGGCGCCTCAGGGCCTCCTGCGAGGACCCCGGGGCCAGACCTGGTCTCTGGCCCTTCCTGCCGCTCCTGCTGAGGGTCCTCTCAGACCCTCCCCTCCGCCTTCCGTGGCTCTCTCGACCCACATCGCCTCCCTCGTGTGCCCTTTCCCGGCCACGCAGAAGGAAGTGGCTGTGCCTGGCGGACTCACTGCACGTGCCGTCCTGCAGCGTCTGGCCTGTGCCGCACGCGCCCGGGCCCTCCGGGGCCTTGGCCGGCTGCTGGGCCACCTCGTACTCGGTGCCCGCCAGCTGGACGGAGAAGAGCTGCCGGCTGACGGCCTTCCGCAGCGTCCTGATGGCCGCCTGCACGCTCTGCTCGGCCCGCCGCCGCACGCAGTCCGCCTCGCAGGTGTCTGCAGCGAAGAGAACGTCACACCCCCCACACCGTCCCCCAGGTGCCTCTCCCCAGGCTGCCCTCCGCCCTCCGCCGGCGCCGGCACCGCACTGGGCCAGGCCACTCTGGAAGCGCACTCGCAGCAGCCCTGGCGGGGCACCATGGCTGTGTCCACCTGACAGATGGGGAGACTGAGGCTCCCAGAGCTAGCGCCTGCCCAGAGCCACGCGGCAGATCTGATGGAAATCAGGCTGCCGCCACTGCAACACTCCCCTCCCCAGGCACACCCCCTGCTGGTGCTCCTGCTGCCGCTCAGACACCTGCCCCGGGCCCAGGACGGGCCCAGCTCCCGGCCTGGCACCCTGGCCTCCTGGCGTGGCCCTCGCTGTGAACGCCGCTTTCAGCCTCCCTGCCTGACACAGGTCGCGCCTTGCCCTCTGTGCCCTGGCCTCTTCTAGTCGCTCTGCCTAGGTGCCAGTCCCGCCCCCCTCCATGGCGTGAAGTTTGATTTCCAGCCCTGAATCCAATGGCCCTCTCTGGGTGGACTTCCGGGGTGCCCATTTGTTCTCACGCCCCTCCCCCTGGAGGCTCCTCGGCACTGGGCTGGTCCCCGCTCTCCAGCGCCCAGGGGGCTGGGCACACACAGCCACATCGCTGACAGCTCACTCCTCTCCCAGCTCCCCACCCCCTCACAGCCAAGAGCAGGGTGTTGGCACCAGACACGAGCCAGAACCACCAGCCCCGGGAGCCCAGGAGGACAGGCTTTCACTGGCTGTTCTGGGGAGGCTGCGGGTTAGTCCTCTGGCCCCCATGAGGGCAGGGAGGGTGGAGGGGCGTGTGGCATCCCTGGCCCTGAGCCCTGCTCCTCTCATGGCCCAGGGCCTCCCCTGCCATCTTGGCTCCAGGCAGTTCTTCTGCCCGTCTTCTCCTGCCCGGCCTCCACCTCCACAGCCGTGTCTGGGCCGGGAGCAGCGGCACACCCACAGATCCTGCCACCCCCATGTGCGGGCCTCCCCGACGCCCTCCACAGCCCACGAGGACCCTCGCCCACCTGAGGCCTCTTCCCCCTTTGTCTCCACCTCCAGCTCCGCCGTGATGTGGGCAACCTCCTTGGACGGGGACTTCCGGCCCCGGCGCCTCTTCTTGGAGGAGTCACACTTGAGGGTCACAAAGGTCACGTGGCTGTGTTCTGGACGGAAGGGACCGTTGTGACTGAGCAGTGCGGGCAGGAGCAGGCCCTCCCCAGCCGTGCACACACGGCCGCGCCGCCCCAGGAAGGCCAGGCTGGCTGAGTGCGGGGGCGGGGCCGAGCCTCCTCACGGGCCTGCGGGCTGAGGAGCGAGCCCAGGAGCTTGGCCATCTTTCCAGAGGCAGAGCTGCCTCCCGCCCGGCCCCTCCCCGGCTCCCCCACTGGTCCCTGGCCCGACCCCCTCACTGAGAGACGCTGCTGAGAGAGCCTGTGCCTCCTGCCGCCGGACAGGACAGCCGGACAGCCGGACAGCCGGACAGGACAGCCGGCAGAAAGCCCTGCTCCGGGAGCTCACTGACCCGGGAGGCAGCACGGCGGCCCCAGGGATCTGGGTCCTAAGCCTTCCACTTCCCGCTGGCCGCCTTCCCAAGGGACCGCATCGCGGCCTCCGGTGCGCAGGTGTGGCCGCCGGGCTCGGGCCACGGGAGCCTTCAGCTGACCCGCCCTGCTGGGCCCTGGCTCCCAGCTCCCAGGCACGGGAGCCCCGCCCCGTGTGGCTGGTCCCCGGGGGCCACTCACCCAGCAGTGGCTGTCTGGGGGCCTCCTTGGCTGGCTCCCCGCTGCGGGGCCAGAGGTGGCACTTGGCATCGCGGATCTTGAAGCGCGCCTTCTGCCTGATGGGGGCGGCGGGGGCACCTGGGGAAACCAAAGTCCCCCAGGTGGTGGCCTCTCCTGGGAGCAGGAGGTGCTGGGGCCAGGGCTGCAGAGGGAGTGCCTGGGTGTGAGGGGCTGCCCGGGGCTGGGCCCTCCCTCCTCACGCCTCTCCCGTGCGGGGTGGTGGGGGCAGGCTGGAGCCAGGGGCCTTCCAGCCAGATCTTCTGTGGAGGAAAGGAGGGCCCGCACCCTAATCCCCACCCCAGAGCAGCTCCCGGGCCGGGTGTGCAGGGAGTGGGCAGAGGAGAGAGGGAAGCGGGGAGGGAGGGCGGGAGCCACAGATGCCCGGACCCCTGCCTCCTCGGAGGAGCTGGGCTAAGGCAGCAGCCATCACAGATGCTGAGAGTTGTGTCGTGGGTGTTGGACACTCGCAGAGGCCGTGTCACTGACCCCGCAGTCTGACAGGGCCCCTCGGCCGGGGCAGCTGGCGCACCCTCACTGGCACTTTGGGTGGGGTCTTCCCCGGCAGCGCCCCCGACTCAGGAGCTTTAGACTTAACGGCGCCGGAAACCCACACCCCGAATTCAGCGCCTCAGGGTCACCGAGCCGCTCTGTGCTGGGTCCAGGAGCCTCGCGTCAGAGAGCCCGTCCGTGTCCCAGCCCCGCAGCCTGCTTGCTGCCAGTAGCCCAGGAGGCTCCCCCTGGGCCGTGCCCGCCCCTCACCCCCAGCACGGAGCACCCATGGGTGCGGCCGGGCCAGGGCTACCTGCACAGCTGGGCCCGGCGCCGGGGCTGGTGCTGTTGCGCGTCGGCGGCGTCCTGCCCTGGAGGCTGGGCACCCCGCAGCTCAGGCTGTAGCTGTTTTCCGAGTCTGTGGGGAAGCGGGTGGTGAGGCGCAGCCGGTACCCCTCCTCCAGCGCCCCCGGGTCCCCCAGCCTCAGAGGGGCGAGGGAAGGAGAGGAAGGTCAGGGCCCAGCCTGCGTCAACTCCTTTCTGCTGCGAGACCGCAGGGCACAGGACACTGCGGCCGTGGAGACCCAGACTGCTGCCCAGGGCCCCTCCCGGAGCAGGGCTGGGCCTCCCCCTCAGGCTCCTTCCTGGGGAACAGCAGGGGGTTACCTGGCAGGAAGAGCGCGTGCGCCGGGCAGGCGAGGGAGCAGCTCTCCACGCCGCCCGCCTTGCCGCACCACAGCTGGGCCCGCGGGGCGGCCTGGGCTGAAGCAGGGCACCCGCCCGTGTCTGAGGAGGAAGAAAGAGAGGCTGGAGGGGCCACTGCGGGGGCTTTCTGAGCGGCTCCGCCACCCCAGCCCAGGCCAGACCGCCTCAGTGGGAAGGGGCTGGGAGACGGCAGAGCCCACAGGCCGAGGATTCAGGCTGGATCCCTAGTGGGGGCGTGCAGGCGGCAGCCGATGAATGATTCTCTCTCATCATGGATGTTCTCTCTCCCTCTCCCCCTTCCTCTCTGAAATCCATAAAAATATATTTTAAAAGCAGAATGGCAGGTCCTCAAAGTTAAACACGGCTACCCTGTGGCCAGCAGCCCCACCCCTGGCACCGCCCAGGGAAGCGGAAAGCGTGTCACACGGACCCCTGCCACGGACGCAGGGCCACGCCGCTCAGAACGCTCGGACGGGGACTGCGCCCGAGCACCGGCCGGTGAGGATGACGGCGTGGCCAGCCGTGACCGGACAGCCTCCGGCAGCACCGGACGAGGCCGGCCGCAGGCTCAGTGTTAGAGCGCCAGCCTGAGGGCGGAGGTCTCAGGCTCCACCCCCTGTCACGGGCGGGCGTGCATTGGGTTTCCGTTCCATCCCCTCCCTGGTCCGGGCCCATTGGTGGTCTCTCTCACATCGATGTTTTTCTCTGTCTCTCCCCTCCCTGCTCCCTTTCACTCTGAAAAATATCGATGGGAAAAATGTCCTCACTCCTTGAGGGAGGATTAAAAAAAAAGGAATGAGGCCCTGGCAGTGGGAGTCCGGCAAACACGTTTCTCTCATCAACGTTTCTAGCTCTCTATCTCTCTCCCTTCCTCTCTGTAAAAAATTAATAAAATATATTAAAAAAACAACAACAATGAGAGAGAATCATTGATCAGCTGCCTCCTGCACTACCCCTACTGGCGATTGAGCCTGCAACCCAGGCGTGTGCCCTTGACCGGAACTGAACCTGGGACCCTTCAGTCTGCGGGGTGACGCTCTATCCACTGAGCCAAACAGGCTAGGGTTTGCATCACGCACTTAAAAAAAAAAATATATATATATATATATATATATATTTTTATTGATTTTTCACAGAGAGGAAGAGAGAGGGATAGAGAGTTAGAAACATAGATGAGAGAGAATCATCAATCAGCTGCCTCTTGCACACCCCCTACTGGGGATGTGCCCACCACCAAGGTACATGCCCTTGACCGGAATTGAACCCAGGACCCTTCAGTCCGCAGGCCGATGCTCTATCCACTGAGCCAAACTGGTTTCGGCCGCATCGTGCACTTTAATGGGTGAATTGCATGTCTCTCAATAAAGCTGTTAATAAAAACAAAACAAAACAAAACAAAACCCAAGAGGAAGGAAGGCAGATGCTAAGGAAGCCTGTGGGTCCCGCAGCTCCGGCAAACACCAGTCCCGCAGGACCCCGAGGAGCGGCGGGCACACCTCTGCAAGCCCGTCCGCCCACCACAGCCCGGGCGGGAAGGCAGCGCCGGGCAGCCCGGCTTCTCAGGCTGGTGTCCTCACACCGGTACCAGCCACGCTTCCGAGACCCAGCCCCATGGCCCCACGCGCCTTCGCCACGGCGGCAGGACCGCTGCTCCGCTCAGTGTGGCAGCCTGGCCGCGGGGAGGTCTGACGGACTGATTTCCAGTATCAGCAAACACTGCGAGCGCCCAGCTGCCAGCTCTGCTCTGGGTGCTGGCTCCAAGGGAGCCATCCTGCTCGGCGCGCAGCACACACTCCAGTGTGGACAGCCACACAGACCGCGGTGTGGCCAGCCATCGTGTCTGGGTGCAGCGGTGGAAAGGAGAGGGGAGGCACGCGGGAGGGTGGGGTGCGGGGGGCAGGAGGGTCCGGATGGTGCTGAGTAAGGAGCCTCCGTCACAGGGGCGTGCACCCCGCTGTGCTCAGGGACGGACACCGGGAGCTCGGGAGGGGAAGGCCGCCAGCGGGCAGCGGCCTCTGCCGTGCAGAGGAGTCCCGGCTGGCTCCGAGCAGACAGACTCAGGGCTGGAAGGCTTGCTGGCCGCCCTGGGGGGTGGGGGATCCCCACACCCAGGGTGGGCCGGCACAGGCGGTGGCCAGCATGTGCTGGTGGAGCCAGTGAGTGTGGGGACTCTGGAGGAGGATCCAGCACAGCAGAGGGCGGGGGTCCTGCGCTCGCTCTGGGAAGCCCTGCCTCACCCTGCAGGGCTGGCAGTCTGGGCAGGGGTGGGTCTGAAGAGACCTGGCATTCCCTGTGCTCCCCACCAGGCTCTGCTGCTGCTGCACCCGGAGCCCCACCCGACCAGCTTTCTTGGCAGGACAAGGGGGAACTGCGGCCTCCACTCCCTCCCTCTGAGCCTCCTGCTCCTCCTGAGCCCACGGCTGCACAGCTGAGCCCAGGTCCCCAGGTCTGTCTGTGCTCCGCTGGCCCCTTGCTCTGCCGCCTCACCCTGGAGGCCTCGTTCCCACCAGCCAGGGGCCGGCAGCAGAGGCACCTGCCCAGCACCTGCCCACATCACTGCCTCTCCCTGCCCACCAGGCACGGAACAGAGGGTGGTCCCAGTGATGCCCACCCGAGGCTGCTGCCTAGGGCACTCACCCAGGGGACTCACCCACGCAGTCCTTCCTGTTCCAGTGGAGCCGCTGCCCCGGGGGGCAGATGCACTGGAAGCTGCCCTTGGTGTTGACGCAGCCGTGGTCGCAGCCCCCGTTGCTCACGCTGCACTCGTCCACGTCTGCAGCACAGGATGGGGGAGGGCGGGAGGGTAAGGCAGGAGGGTAAGGGCAGTACCGCCAGCCCTGGCCACCCCCTCGGAGCAGGAGGGCTGGGAATCCCCTGACCCCAGCCTGACACCGTCACTGTGCACAGACGCGGGATGCACACATCACACCTACAAGCATGCACACACACGTGAGCACACACACCGACACCTCCCTCCTGCCCAGACGGGGCAGGCAGAGCCGTGGCACCAAATTCAAGTTCTGTCAGGTCTGCGGGCAGGAGCACTGGCCCGGGGACCAGGCGGCCTCTTCTCGCTTGGGACTGGGGACAGGCCCTTCCCTGCCGCTCCTGTGCCACGGGCGGCAGGAAGAAGTCACCGGAGCCCTCCTGCTCAGACCTCCAAGGCCAAAAGCATGCCCTGCGGGAGGGCTGGGCTGCATTCACACTGGGGTGCACGACTGAGCACCCCGGCTGCCAGCATTCGGGGAGCGGCCGGCCCAGGGAAGCTGGTGGCCAGGTTTTGGGGATCCCTGCAGCCTCCCCCAGGTGCCGCCCAGCACCAGCCGTGCCCTCACGGCTGCCCAAGCACAGGGAGGGGAGACACCCGGGCCACAGGGACACGTGTCAGACGTCTCCACCTCCCGTCAGTGACCCTCCTCCTCCTCTGTGCCCCGCCTGCCTGAGCCAGCTCTGGCCCCGTGTCTGGTGCCCGGGCTCACTCTTTTAAACACGGGGCAGCCACAGCAGTCCCGGTGCATGAACGTGGCCATGTCCCAGGCTGATTAAAGCTCCCACAGGGATAAAACCCAGTTCCCTCCGGGCTCAGGCAGCCCTGCACCCCGTCTGACCTCCTGGCCTCACGGCTGCCTCCAGTCTCTGCCTCAGGCCTGCGCAGGTGCTGACCCCTCTGCGAGGCTCCCCTCACCCTGAGCCAAACGCTTCTGTGTGGCCACCATCCCCTTCCAGACTGAGGCCATGTCCAGTCTATGCCCACACCTGGCCCAGGCTTAGCCCCGGTGGGTACTTGCTGCCCCTCCCCATCCTCCCGCCTCTCCTGGGGCTGAGCCCCTCTGCCCACTGGTCCCCAGCCTCGCCCTGCCCCAGGCTTGTCAGGGTGAGGGGGCGGGGGCGGGGGCGGGGCGGGCGCGGTGCGGCGGGCGGCGTGCCTCGGGGGAGGTGGCCGTGGAGGGCGGGCGGGCTGCAGACCTCCGCAGTGGGTCGTCCCGTAGAGCGTGTAGCCGCGGTGGCACAGGCACTGGAAGCTGCCGGGCGAGTTGATGCAGATGTGGTCGCAGGTCCGCGCGAAGGAGCACTCGTCGATGTCTGCGTGGCCACAGGGGCGCGGGGAGCGTGTCAGGGTGGGCGGAGGGGCCCGCTGCCCCCGCCCCGCACAGCGCACAGCCCCCGGCCTCCTGGCGCCGCCCCTTTCCCGCCTCCACCGCCCGTGCTCCGCCCAGGAGCCGCCTCGCGCCTCCTCGGGAGGCGGGCAGGGCAGGAACACTCTGGATGGAAGGGCTGTGGTTTCTGCCATTTAACACCCCATGGCTAACTGTGATTAGGATTGGCTGTTTATTTTTATTGATTTCAGAGAGGAAGGGAGAGAGATAGACATCTTAGTGAGAGAGGATCATTGATCGGCGGCCTCCTGCTCGCCCCCAGTGGGGATCGAGCCCACACCTGGGCATGTGCATGCCTGGGAATCGAACTGTGACCTCCTGGTTCATAGCTCAGTGCTCAACCATGAGCCCTGCCGGCTGCTCTGGTCTAACCCACCCCTGCAGGAACCTGATGGGGCTGAGGAGGCAGCTGAACTGGGGCAGGAAGCAAGGCCTCCTGGTTGCTGACCAAAGTATGTTTTCCCATCGCCCCCAAAGGCCCCTTGAGGAGGTAAGGACAGCAGCACAGACAGACAGGAGCAGGGGAGCAATATGCTAGCCACGAGGGCAGTACGGTGGCCTGGACAGCAGTGGAGTCTGAGTCCGAGGTTCCTGGCAGCCGGGGTGAAAGGGAAAGTGCTGCGGCTGGAGATGAAATAAACCTCATGCTCACAGGACAGGGCTGAGCTGCCGAGAACTGAGGACGGCTCCTGGGGGACAGGTGAGGGCGCCTGCTGCTCCCGGGCACTGCAGATGGAGTTCGTTCTCCGAATATGTTTGCTCATGTGACTGCACGCATGTTCGTAACACGTGTGTGTGTGTGTGTGTGTGTGTGTGTGTGTGTGAGATAACGCTGCTGCTGGTGCTGTGGGCCTCACAGGAGGCTGTGATCTCTGGGTGGGGGTCGGAGGGCCGATGCTGTGGCCTCTGGGCCAGTTCGGTGGGGAAGGTGCTGCAGGCACAGGTGGGAGGAGGTGGCACAGAGCACCCAGGGGATTGGGAGGAGCTCAAAGGGGCTGGGGAGGTGTCTGGGGTCCCCATCCCCAGGGCCCTGAGTGCCAAGCAAAAGCACTCAGACCTCTCCCTGCTGGGGCTGGGGAGCCCAGGGTGGTGCTGGGGCAGGCGGGGCCCCAGGCCTGGGGATGAGTCTGGAGGAGGCTGGAGAGACCAGAGGCAGACATGTGGTCACCTCCTCTTCCTCCGCCCTGGCAGTGCCCGCCTCCCTCACAGGGCAGCTGGGGGTGCGAAGTCAAGGGCCCCCTCCGGCCCCCACAGGGCAGAGGGAGAAACGAAGCCGAGGGCAGGGGCCTGACGGGCCTGCACAGACGCCGATCTCCAGACACCCTGTGCCTGCGGGGGAGCCCTGGCCTGGGCTGTGCTGAGCCCCCGGGGGGGCTGGCCCGGGTCCTCCCTCACCCCTCAGGGCCTCGGGCGGGACCTCTGCCCACCCTGACCGCCTCCTCAAACTCTCCCTGTGGCCACGGGCCAGGCTCTGAGCAGCAACAACAGAGAAGCTGCAAGCCCCACAGCCAGATTCGGCCACGCGTGGACGTGGAATGACGCCTGTGACAGTCACCTGATGGGACCTGCCACGCCCCCACCACTCAGGCTCCCTGGCCCGGCCCTTGCCCCTCCCCCCAAAGCGGCCCCCGCCCACAGAACTCCCCCTGTGGTCCCCGAGCTCCCTCGGCCAGCAATGCCACGTTCTGGGTGGGCTTACCGCCCTGGCACCCGGGGAAATGCCTCTTTTTCAAGCATTTCACCCACATCCCATCCCCGGAAGCCCTTTGCCCTCTCTCTCCCCCGCTCATGCCCTGGGCTCCTGCTGAACCGGGACGTCGGCTGGGCTTATCCTGGGCTCTGACTCCTGGCTTCTGCCCAGATTTCTCCTCCCATGACCTTGCTCCTAGCAGGTGCCGGGACCCTGTAGGGACCTCGGAGAGCACCTGCAATGTGAGCTGCTTCCACCAGGTGGCAGCACTCCACCGCTGATGTTCTCTGCTACCCACCGGCTGCGCCCCGGGGACACTGTGCTCTGGGGCACGGCTGCTCTCCCTGGGCCCCGGAGTCATAAAGGACAGGGGCGGGCAGGGCAGGAGCACATGCTGAGGACCCAACACCACCTGCTTCTCCAGAGCGGACAGCCGGGGGGAAGGCTCACCTTGGCACGTCCGCTCGTCGCTCAGCAGCCGGTGGCCCTTGCGGCAGCCGCACTCGAAGCTGCCCACGGTGTTGCGGCAGGAGTGGTCGCAGCCCCCGTTGTTGGCCAGGCACTCGTTGATGTCTGTGGGGCCGAGTGCGGGCAAGGAGAACGGGCTGCGAGCGGGGATGACGCCAGCACCGCCCTGCCCTGCCCTGCCAGGCTGGCCTCAGTTTCCCCACTGAGCACAGGGACGGGGTCCCAGCTCAGCAGTGGGGTCTGGAGGACGGGGGCACCACTCCCCCTGGACATGGCCATTGTGTGCCGTTGGGCAAGACCACGGGAGGACAAGGGCCCTGTGTCCTCTCACCGCCCGAAGGGGGCAGCACAGGGCAGGGAGGCCCGGGGCAGGCGGCTGCCTTCCGATGGCGTGACCCTGACGCTCGCGCTGTGGGACCAGGGTCAGAGGCACCTCAGGGGTAAGAGAGCGACATCGATCAGCGCTCAGAGGACTGGCAGCGCCCGCTGGTGGAGGCGCTGCGGGCGGCAGTGCAGCCTGTGGTCCTGGGACTAACGGTCCTTCTGCCTCTTCCTGCGGCCCCACCCCGTGCCTGCCTGGACCTGCGCTCTTCACCACTCAGTATCCGATGAGTGTGGCTGAACCCCCAAGGTCCCTGCCTGCCCCCACGCCTCCCAGCCCAGCCCCAGCCCCAGGCCCAGCTCCAGCCCAGCCCCAGCCCAGCCCCAGCCCCAGCCCAGCCCCAGCCCCAGCCCCAGCCCAGCCCCAGCCTAGCCCCAGCCCCAGCCCAGCCCAGCCCCAGCCCAGCCCCAGCCCCAGCCCAGCCCAGCCCAGCCCCAGCCCAGCCCCAGCCCAGCCCCAGCCCCAGCCCAGCCCCAGCCCAGCCCCGAGTGTCCTGCGGAGACCTCCACGGGCACCTGCGGGGATGGCAGCCTCTCCCTCCCACAGGGCCTGAGCTCCGGCCGTGCGAGCTTTGCTCGGGCTCTGGCAGCTGGCAGGGTTGTCAGGGACCCTGCCTCTGAGGTGCTCCCTTGGGGCCCTCAGCCCCCATGCGGGGCGCGCTCCAGAAGGCCCCGCAGTGAGTGCCGGAAGAGCTGGCTCCCAGCACAGGCACAGGAAGCAGGACGGAAAGGACGCTCCACGTGGCCTCTGGCCTCTGAGCAGCGCCCACTGGGCCTGACCTGAGCCGAGGCCGCGCGCCTGTCCCGTGCCACAGGCCCCTCCCTGGGATCAAGGCCACTCTGCCCAGGTGCCTGGTCCGCTCAGGACACTGTCCCGCCCCGCCCCTCTCTTTTCCCGCAGCCTCCGGAGAAGGCAGGCCAGAAGGCAGCGAGGCCTGCCCAGGCATCGCCACTGCCCCTCCCCTGGGGATTATGGGAAGACGGGATCGCTAGCTAGAAGGTTCTAGCAAAGAGAAGGCCCGCTGTGTGATCCGGAGCCTCAGGTCCCATGTCTCGGGTGAGACCGGCCCTGCACGTGGGCCCGCCTCTCAGGACACCTCTGGCCTCCGGAGCCCGTGCCACGCCTCCCCATCCGGACCTACAGGCTGTCATAGCAACCAGACAGGCGGCGGAGGCATGTTTGCTCGGGCCAGGCCGGCGCAGCCGGTGCAGCAGGCTGCGGGGTCACCGCCCGGGAAGCACCCCGGCTGCAGCCAGGGACACGGTGAGGGAGCCTGGGCACAGATGGCTCCTCCACCTTCGTTCTGACGCGGGGCATCTGGTGGGGAGTGGGGAGTATGTGGGTGGGTGGAGGGGTAGCTCCTTTTCCCACTTCCTGCACCTCTAGACCCCCTCCTTCTCCACTGCGGCCCCCAGCCCTCGCCAGGCGGCCAGAGTCCCCTCGCTGTCCCAGAGGGAGGCCTGGCCCTGCCTGCACTCTCTGCCCTCGGTCCTGTCTGGGCAGCCCCGGCCCAGCGAAGCCTCTCCGACCCCTCAGTTAGCTTCCCCGTCACCGGCCTGCCCTCGGGGCTACGGGAGGGCCTCCAGCACGGGGGCAGGAGGGTGTGTGAGGCCCGTCGGGAGCCCAGGGCCTGGCACAGCTGGCACAGGGACTGCCCAGGGGTGCGCACTGGATGGGTGAATGAGTGAGGAAACGTTAGGGGGGCTGAGAGGAGGATGGGGTCTTGGGCCATCTGCTGGAACATTCGAATGCATCCATGCTCGAGGGCCAGCACTGTGTGGGGAGGACGCAGCTTGGCACCCGGAGGCGTGCGGGGGAAGACCTCAGACGGGAGCAGAGGGAGGAGCTGGGCTGGAGGGGCAGAGGCAGGAGAGGGAGGAGAGGGACACAGTGGGTGGGGTTTTCCGTTCTGTCTGTTCTGGAAGCTGCTGGGGGAGTGGCTGGTGCCTCAGGAAACCCCGGGCTCAAACTCAAGCAGTTGAGGCCCCAGACCCACTCCTCTCGGAAGGACCAGCCAGCAGGACACCCTTCCCAAGGTCAAGTGGGTGCAGCCTTGAGAACGGATGCTTGAAACACAGTGAGGGCTTGGGGTGAATCCTCTAGAACAGTGTTTCCCAAGCTTCTGACATATGTGCACCCCTTCTATAATTTCCGTAACGCTGAGTACCCCTCGTGCTCATGAGAACGTAGAATTAGGCGCCTCTAAGCACGGTGCAGTGCAAATCCCCACCAAACCCTTCCCGTGCCCCTGGGGGTACGCGTACCGCACTTTGGGGAACACTGCACTCACTAGAACCCCCTTTCCCACGCCGGCCTCCACCTGCCCTTGCGACCTGACCTCTAGCCATTTGCGTGACAACGACCTTTCTGGTTCCGGAAGACACAGCGTCTCTGAGGCCGGTCCCCTGCCGTGCCCTCCGGGCCTGGCCAAGCCCAGGTCTGCACGCCGACCGAGGAGCGGAGGCCAGGGCCAGGGCCAGGGCCCGGCTGTGCGCCGAGGCTCCGGAGCACCAGCCCTGGGTGAGGGATTGGTTTCCAGGTCCCTGCCATGAAGATGTTAGGATGTTCTTACCCCACATTCTAGACTAGTCCACGACCCCTAAGTACAAATGCACCAGACAGCATGCAGACCAGCCTTCCCCTCACGGTCCCCGAGCCCAAGCCAGTCCTGGAGCCTGCGTGGCGGCGGCAGCTGCCTCACTGCCCTTCGGGACCTGCCCAGAGACCAGCAGCGGCCAGGACACGCCCCAGGGACACCCTGCGGCTGCCCCTGCCCAGGAGCCTTGGGGCCTCACCAAGGTTCAAAGGCCGCAGGGCCGACCCCTTCCCCGGCAGCAGGCACCGCACCATCTGGCCTCCCCCCCGCCCCCCGCCCCCCCAAACCTGGGCGCTCCCTGCCTCTGGGACCTGGAAGCCCAGCCCCGGGCGGCCCCGCGCCCTTGGAGGCGCTGCCCGAGCACACCTCTCTCTGGCCCTCTGCCTGCTCACGCCCAGGTCCGGCCCCTCCGCCCGGCCTCCAGCTCCCGCTGGACTTCTCGGTTCACTGATCCCCGTTACTGTAAAACACGAACATCTGCCTTCTGCTCTCAACAGAGACCTCAGGAACGAACTGTGTCAGCCCCCGTCTCCCAGCTCCTGCACCAGGAGGGGCCAGGAAACCCATCTGGGACCCCGGGGCGGTGGGGCTGAGCAGGCCCGGCTCCTCCTGTGCCAGCGCGGACAGGCCCTTCAGCTGAGGTGCACGCCCCAACCTCACTCCTCCGGGGACCAGGAGGGAGGACCGCAGACAATCGCACCGGGAGGAGCAGCCCTGTGCCACGCTGTCACAGCTCTGGGGTGAGGACGTGCGACACCCGGCCCCTTGGGGACCACACGGATCGGGAGGCCAGGAAGGCACCTGCCACCCAATGGGCACCCAGTTCTTTGAGAGAACCCCAGTTTTGTGCCCGGGACCTAGAGGTGTGTGCGGTGGAGGCAGCATTCCCTGGGACGCTATGGGGGCGAGGGAGCTGAGCCTCCCCCTGCTCAGCCCCTCCCCCAGACATGCAGGCCACAGCTCAGCTTCCTGGTCCCGTGCCCTCCCCATCGGCTGGCATCGCAGGTCCTGCCCCGCCGTGCCTAAGGAGTGGAGCGGGCACTGCCCGGCCCCGGGCTGACCTTTGCACGTCTTCCCGTCGGGCTGCAGGGCGAACCCCACGGGGCAGCTGCACCGCACGCCGGTGGCTGTGTCCTTGCACGTCCGGTCGCAGCCTCCGTTGTTGACGGCACATGTCTCTGGGGAGGGAAAGAGAGAGCTGCTCAGTCTCCTCGGATAGACGCCACCCCCTCTCCCCACCCAGGTGGAGTCTCCTGAGACAGGAGACCCGAGTTCCAGTCCGACTCCGAGACCCTCCAGCTGTGGGGCCTCGCCGAGCCTCACGTTCCCCATCTGTAAAATGGGAGAACAGCACCGTGTCCGCGGGCTGCATGACGGCAGTGGATGGGACGATGTTTGCAAACTGCAGGGGGCCAGGTGTGGTAAAGGACTGCCAACAGGCCCTGCCCCTGCTCCTGGGGGCCCGTGCCTATGGGCCTGGCTGGTCTCTAACACCCGGTCAGATTCCGCAAGCCTGGCCCGGCCTGGCCCAGGCGCCGAGCCCAGCCAGCGCTGGCTAGGGCTCCCCCATGCACCCAGCACCCCGGCCGGTGGCCCTGGAGCCTGGGAGGCGTGCAGAGTGCGCACACCCATCACCGCAATGAGCCAGGCCCAACATCTGTTCTCACTGAGCGAGAGGCCGCGGCGTCTGGTTTCTGTCCACTTGAAGCTTGTCTAGGGCTTTTTTCCTCTTTTGCAAATTCAAAGGAGCTGGAGTGGCTGTGGCATAGCTGAGGGCACAGACCTGTCTTGTGGTGAGAGTGATCCTGCCCAGGCCTGCGGGAGGGGCCGCAGAGCCAGGTCGCCGGGTGCAGGTGGCCCGCACACGAGGAGCCTGGCTCCCGGGCCTCGGAGCCTTCCCATCTGGGTTTCTTCCGAGCATCCGGCAGCTTTGATCTGATGGGAACCGTGCCCGCCCAGGCTTCCCTCTTTTCTTGGCTGCTGGGAAGCAAGGAGCCAACGGGTTCCTCATTCTTTTATGGCCGAGATGCCCTGCCTGCCGGCCTCAGCTTCCCCTGGGGGCCTGGCCTGGGGCCTTTCCCCAGGCCCCCAGTTCCGTCTGTCTGCCAGTCAGTCCATGGTACCTGACTCCTGCCAGCTGCTTCTGGGCCGCGGCGGGAGTCTGGGATGAGAGTGGGAGTGGTGACTGAGTGAATGTGTGCCCCAGCTGCCGGGAGTCCCTGGCACTATAGACCAAGTTCACGGTGCATTCCCTTTGAACTTCAACTTGTGGTGGGGGCTGTGCAGGAGAGGAGGAAATCGACTTGACCTCCGGTGCGTGGGGTGGGCACCTGGGCTCTGCGGGGTGGCCTTGGCCTTCGGTGTGCGTGGGGTGGGCACCTGGGCTCTGCGGGGTGGCCTTGGCCTCCTGTGTGCGTGGGGTGGGCACCTGGGCTCTGCGGGGTGGTCTTGGCCTCCTGTGTGCGTGGGGCTGGGCACCTGGGCTCTGCGGGGTGGCCTTGGCCTCCTGTGTGCGTGGGGCTGGGCATCTGCGGGGTAACCCTGGGGGCTGCCTGAGCAGAGGCCGCCAAGCGGTCTTCTCAAGGCCGAAGTCCACATGATGGGACGAGCTGTCCCTCCCGCAGAAAGGCGAGTGTCCTGGCCCTGGCCTGCCCGTCTGTCTCCACACCCCGAGCCCCTGCAGGTGTGGCAGCTCGGAGCTCGCTGTCCTGTGCGCCGGCCCAGGTTTGTGATCCGGAGACACGGACTGGCCAGACAGACTCCCAGGGTCTCATAGGCCCTCCCTGGCTCTGGAGGTCCCAGCAGGACCGGAATCTTGGCCCTCCAGAGCAGGAGGGGCTTCCAGAACCTGCTGGCCTCCTGCCCACGGGATGGATAGAGGCCCAGAGGGCGTGAGGTCAAGTCTGAGTGGCCACCCACTCTCTGGACTCCCAAGCAGGCCTCTCCCCTGCCCTGTGCACACCTTCAGTCTCCAGAGTTGCCCAATGGTTAGTGCCAAACTTCAGGTTTTAAGCCAGGGGCTCGGGGTTGACCACCCCTTCCCACAGCTCATTATGGTGGGTCACTTACAACAGGCCCGTCTCAGCCTTCCAGGCCTCCATCCCCCAGGCTCACAGCAGCTCTGCGAGAGGCTGCTCACCCTCTCTTTCCTGGTAGGGAGGTACAGAGCGCCCTCTACATTCCTGGCAGGGACATGCAGAGCGCCCTCTATCTTCCTGGTAGGGACATGCAGAGCGCCCTCCCCTTCCTGGTAGGAATGGGGCACCAGGGCTGTGCTGCCAGGAAGTGGCAGAGCAGGTGGGACCTGCTGGACTAACACCAGCCCACCTGATGGCCTCAGTCTCCACTGGCCGCAGCCCCAGAACCCCCATCGCCCAAGTATGCACTGGCCTCCATCCTGCTGCAGGGCCCCCATTGTCATCAATGCTACATCTGTCCCCAGGCCCCACCGAGAGGCCCCTGCCACCTTCCTCCACATCTGCTCTTACTGCTGCCCCGGGGCCCAGCCTCCAGTGCCCGCCTTGGCCTTCCCGGCCTCCAGCGGTCCCTCCTCCAGCCCGTGAGTGTGGCCAGGCCCTGCCTTCCGGAGTCTGCGTGTCCTGAGGACGTGGAGACGGAAAGCCAGGGCGGGCAAGTCGGCTCACAGGTGAGCGTGTGAAGGTTTACTCGTGTTATTACTAATTACTGTGCTGTTTTCCACATGAACAACTGTCAGCTGATCTCTGCCCCCTGCAGGCTTCATGCAAGGCCCAGGCAGAAGGTGGCCTGGCAGTGCTGTGTGAACTGCCATGGCTGTGCATGTGCCGCTGTGGTGCCGTTTCCCAGAACCCGTGCCTGCGGAGTCTTAGCCAGTTCCCAGGCCCTGCTCGGGGCCGGGAGCCAGGCCTAACACCCGGGCTCAGAGGCCCCAGCCCCATGGGCAGTCGGTGGGTTCACTCCTCTGTCCAACCAACAGACTGGCAGCGACACGCTGGTGCTGGGCACAGAGGAGCTAGAGACGAACCTGACCCTGCCCTAGGCCTCAGAGGTCAAGGCTCTGCAGGGAGACAGGACTGGGACCTTGCCTTCCTCACGGAGTCTGCTCACCTCCTACCCTTGGACCCACCCCCCACGCAGACCCATCCCCCTCTCAGGGCTTCAGTCCTGGCCTCCACCACTGCCCTGTCTTCTCCCACAGTCCCCCACCCCCACGTCACTCTCACAACAGCCACCAGCATGTCCCCCGGACCCAACTCCACACACAGGCTCCTGGGCAGGTGCACCCCGCACCTACCCTAGGGGTGCATCCTGGTGAGCATGCGGCGCTGGCGCTGGCGCCGTCCTCAGCCTGGTGCCCAGGGGAGCCGTGTGCCTGGACCCAGGTTTGTGGTAAAGCAGGAGCAGAAGCAGGAGCAAGCCCTCTCCCTGCCTCCGGGCCCTGCCTCCACTCTGCCCACTGAGTGCAGGGGTGCTGAGGGCAGACACGGGTGCCCTCAGGAGGGAGTCCTCGGGAGGGAGGGGCAGGGTCCCAGCTTCTGGCTTGTGAGAAGCAGCCCCAGGAAGATCGCCTCTCTGAGCCTTGTGTCCAGTCAGCCACACTGACGGTGCCCTCACGGTGCCGGAACACGGACATGTGATCACACGCCTATCTGTGCCCTTCCCAGCCCTTCCCAGGCCAGCCCAGCCCTGCCCAGCCCTGCCCAGCCCAGCCCAACCCAGCCCAGGTGGCCCAAGTCGACAAGACAGCGCCGTCCAGAGAGCCTGCAGAGAGCGGCTTCCGCCTGAGCTAGCCACCTGCCTGTGCCCGGAGGCGAGTCCCGGGCCCTGCCAGCCCATGTCCCGCCTAGAAGCAGGGCTTCCTGCCACGGGCTTCAGGGTTCACAGACACCCCCAGCCAGCCCCTCTGCTTCTCAGAGCACCACTCCCAGCACACGGGGCGCCTCCCTCCCGGGGCCCTACCCTCCTCCCTGGCCCCTGGGCCCCTGGGGGTTCACACGATGGTGAGACAGGGTGACCTCTCCAGCCCTGACCCCTGGCCCCGTAACAAGGAGGATGACCCCATGCCAGCGCGCTGGGCTGAGCGCAGGGCAGCGTGCCCGTGGGCGGCCAGGGCACCCAGCGAGCCTGTTTCCTCACCTGAGACACGGAAACGCACTGCCTGGCCGCCCTGGCCCAGGCCCCGGCCGGTGTGCCCTGTCAGTGCCCTGGGAAGGCGGTGGCCGCCCAGCGACCCGCAGCCCCGATCCCGGGGCCCAGCAGAGGGCGCCGCCCAGCGACCCGCAGCCGCGCTCCCGGGGCCCCGCAGAGGGCGCCGCCGGCCGGAGCTGCAGCACCGCCCGCGCATGGATGAGGAAGGAGGCGACTTCCCCGCTGTGGGGGCTGGGCTTAGTGGGGGGCAATCACCCCCCCCCCACTGCCCTGAGGGGCGCAGTGTCCAGGGCACCTCCTGGAGTCTGGGTCCGGCCCAGGAGCAGTGCTCAGAGGGAAGGGGACATGTGTGGTCTCCCCTACACGAGGTGCTGGGGTTCCCATGGAGGAGCGGCCAAGGCTGGTGCCCAGCAGGTGGGGCTACTCACAAAGTGGGGGGGGGGCAGGCGGTGCTGAGTGAGGCCTGCAGGTGACCTCACCAGTCCCCCCTCTCCGGGGGCAAATCTCCCAATTATGCAGTGAGCAGCGCGGGAGGGATGCCCCATGGCCCCGCCTGAACCCAGACGTGGCTTTTCTCCGGAGGGAAGGGCCTGTGAGGACCACCAGGCCGCCCGCAAGCCTGTCCTACACACATGCCCTCCCTGCGCCCGCACTGTGCTGTCCCGGGGCCCTGACTGCCAACCGGCATGGACTGCTCCGCACACGCAGAGGCCACCTGACGTGGCTCTGGGGTCTGCCACAAACACACAAAGGGATACACGGGTTTGATGAAGGGCAAAATTTTAAAGAGGAAAAAGTGGGTTCATATCTGGAGTGGAGCCCCCCACACTCACACATGGCACGCGTGACCCCACACATGTGGGCAGCCCACACACACACCCCTTAGGCCTGCACACACATAGCCCGACACGCCAGCACCACGCAGACCCCTGCACGCCAGCACATACCACACATGAGCACACGTGCAAAGGTGCGAGGACAAAAGGAAGTGGAGAAAAGTTACCCATGAGGAGCCGCCGTTTCACCCGCTTGTCCACATCAGCTACTGACGTGGCATTGAACTGAGAGCGCTCAATTGCAGCCTCATCCTTCTCTAAAACACAAGTAAGGGACAAACATGGAGCCACCGGTTAGTGACAGCCGCTTCCCGCGCCCACAGCCTTCCGCGGGGCGCACACAGCCAGCACATGCGGGCCGGCGCGGCGTCCTCGCCACGGGCTACCCAGGCCCCTTGGTGGGTGTTCGGGGCAGCAGGGCAGGGCAGGGCAGGGGGTGTGAAGAACGGGGGTGACCACAAAGGGACACGGTGGGTCACAGAGCCCACACGCACATACAGGAGGCAGCTGAGGTCAGAGCAGACAGGATGCATCTGCGGGGGCCACAGAGGCAGACGGCACCCCGCAGAGCCCACGCAGACAGCAGTTAGACGGCCTGGCATGGGCTGGAGGCAGGCACAGGGCAAGCACAGGACAAGGGGACAGGGCTGCAAGGTCCGGTGATGGCTGCGTCTGAACAGCAATTACTCTATCTCCAGGGCGGGAGAGAGTGCAAACGCTCATGCAAAACTAAGAACAAAACACACAGAAGCACGCACGCGCATGCGCACACACAGGCATGTACACACACACACACACACACACACACACACAGCAATGACCCAATCGAACACACAGAAATCAGGGATCAATCGGTCGGGGCAGCACTGGTTGCCTGCTTGTCTCTAGAGGACGGAGTGACAGCTCAGGGCTGCGGGGGGGAGGGCTGTGAAGACGGTAGTCAGGGTAGGAGCGTGCAGAGCCCGTGAGGCTGGGCAGGAGCCCCGCCAAGGGCAGGAGGTTGGCTGGGTCCGCTGCTCGGTGGGAGGTGGGCAGAGCCGGGGCTTGCTCGGGGGGGGGGGGGACCTCAGGAGCGGGAGCAGCGGCGGGAGGGCTTCCTGGCCAGCAGGGAGCATGGCCAGGAGCAGGGTCTGGGCAAGGACTCGAAGGGGAGGGGCGGGAAAGAGGGCCAGGGAAGTTAGCGAGAGCTCCCAGCGGGGGCTGCATGCAGCAGACACTACAAGATAAAAGTAAGGAAGGAGGAGTCGGGTGGACAAAGACGAGATGTGTTAGCCGAGCCCGCGTAGGGGTCTGGCCGGCAGCTGTTTGCGCTGGCCCAGCAGCCGGCAGAGGCGGCTCCCCGCAGAGGCTAACACCGAGGGAGACCCCAGAAGACGAGACAGGGAAGGGTGGGGTGTGGGGGGGCGGCAGAGACAGGGCGAGAGGAGGGTCTAGATGGGATCAGGCTGCAATGGAGACACTGGTCTGAGGCTGGATTTTGCTTTGAATTTGGTTTGGTTTGGCTTTTGGCTCTGAAAGTAATTAATGAACGTCAGTTGTCAGACAAGACAGGCAATCAGGGACCATCACCAGGAAAGCAGGAGGGATGAGATGAAACGGAACTAAAAACGGCTGTGGGAGAGGAGGGACCACACGGAGGGAGGGAGAACCGCATGGCAGCAGCACCTGGGACACAGCCAGGGACTAGGATGGGACCCTACCTCCCCCCCCCCTCCCCCGCCTCTGCCTCCCGCCCCGACCTCACTCTCAGGGACCAGGGACCAGAGTCACAGGGGACCTCTGGGTGGCATGGCTTTGCCTGCTTGCCACCCACTATTTTTGTTACTTAAAAGTCCCTTAAGAAATATCTACCCCGTCAGATCATACGAATGTTTTTTTTTTTTTTAAAGAGCAACAAAAACATAACCACGGTAACGGACTTCTAAAGCTCGCCAGCACTGAAGAGAAAGAAAGAGAATGAAGGCGGATGGACATCAACCTTGACATTCTTTTTCTCAGTTAAGAGTTTCTATTGTGGAGCAGGCAGGAACCTCCTGGAGATCAGGGCAGGGGTACTCCCAACACTCAAGCTTCCGGGGAGCTGAGGGCCGGAGGAAGGAGCGGACCCAGACTCCCATGGAGACCCCGGGTAGCCGGGAGGTGCCGGGTGGGGCATCGCTGAGAAGGGCCTCTCCAGGTGGGTGAGGGAGTCCGGCCACAGCTCCCAGGAGCAGGGGGAGGGCGAGCAGCAGAGACCCCGGGCATCCTGGCCCAGGGGAGCTTGGGATGAGGACTTAGCAGCTCTGACCGGCTGTGAGGAGGCCGCTGAGCCTGCACGTCTCCACAGGAGGGCGGGCGGGAGCCCTGTGCTCAGACTGGAGCTGCCACCTGGGCACACACCTTCCCTTCCCGCAGACCACCCCCGAGGGCCGCTCCCCAGGAGGAGGACCTGCAGGGCGCCCAGCGTGATCCCCGGCAGAGGCGCCTCCACAGGCGCTGCCCCTCACTGCGTGGGGCACACTTTTCCTGGCTTCCCTTAAGCTTCCTTCCTTGGAAATGGGACAAGGGGGTGCTGGCTGACGTCAGGGCCACACGGCGCCTTCCAGGGGGCGCTGGGGTGCCAGTGCAGCAAAGGCGCCTACTTACCGATGCACGTCCGACCGTCCGAGTGGAGGGCGTACTTCTGGTGGCAGCCGCACAGGGGGCCTGTGTCTGTGTCCTCACAGCTGTGCTGGCAGCCTCCGTTCCCATAGTTACAGGTCACTAGTTAGGCCCAGAGTGCGGAGACGTATGTGTAAACAGAACGACAAGAACGGTTAGAGTCTCTGGGTTGATGGTTTCTGTGAAGGGGTGAAGGGTGGGGAGCGGAGGGCATGAGACACTCAGCGCATAGGACCACCTCCCCTGCCCTCAGCCCTCGTGGTCTTGGCTGGAACTGCTCGTTCCCCGGAGGTCCCGGGCGGGACGGGGTGCCCCGGGCTCTGAGCAGAGGGGCACACCGCTGATCACTCAGGCAGTGTGAGTAAAGGGAGGAGCCGGACAATTGGATCCTGGGCCGCCGAAGACACTGGAGCCTGACTCCACGGGGCAAATGTCTGTCATCCAGGCCTATTCTGAGGTGGGGGGTGCATGTGGGGAGAGGGGACACTCATTCCCATGACCCCCGAGAGCCTCCTTTCCTTGGCTTATGCTCTGGGTGTGTGGGAGGGCGTCCCCCTGGGTGCCTGTTCTCTCCAAGTCCCAGCAGCCATCTCAAACCCCACCCCTCAAAGCCCTAGCCCCCCAAGGCCATGTCCAAATGGACAGAATGCATGCCAGTTAGAGTCACTCAGGTGCATTTGGAAATGACCTTGGACTTGGACATGTGACACAGTTCGCACTGCCCAGGGCCCGGAGGGGCTGGTATCCTCCAGCCAGAATCTTGGAATGTCCCAGCCGAACAAAAAGGAGCCAGTCTGTGTAGGAAAGACGACAAAGTCAAGTTTATTGAAAGGAACATGCTGCTGTCCCTTTGAGGGCGGGCAGGGCTGCCTCCCCTGCTTAGCTCTGCATCCAGACCACAGGTGCCTATTGCCCGCCACGCCAGGCCCCGAGGACAGGGCATCTTCTCGGATCCTTAGCCAATTGTCCCGAGTTTTACCTGAACTTTTAATTCGCTTGGCAAAACCCTAATGAAGATCAGATATACCAAAATTAATATTGACCAGCCACCGTCAGAGGGGCCCAACATTCCGAATTGGCAGTCTGAACCTGTGACCTCTGTCAGGGTGACCCATGCGCAGCGCTGGTCCGGGGGGTCGTGCGGTGGCGAGGCCCCGGTGAAGGAGCCGAGTTCTGCAGCCCCGATCCAGGCCGGCCTCTTCCCCACGAGCGCCTGTCCCCAGTGATGGCGCCGGGGAGACGCAGAGGTGGTTCCAGTCTCCCAGAGGGCCCGGCAGGCCAGGCCACTCTTCCGCGGGGAGCTGAGGTCCCCCTGAAGGAGGGAGCCACTTCCGGGTGACCCTTCACGGGCTCAGCTGGGGCTTCGGGCACAGTCCGCAGGCCCCTTCTCTGCGGGAGCCAGGCGGTGCACGGTCAGCCTCTCCCATCCCTGACACAGCTCCTCTCCGGCCCCGGAAGAGTGGCTGGAAGCCCAGGGTTCCAGCCGTGGTGGCTAAGCGTGGGTTCCAGGGGAGGGAGACCCCGTGGAGCTTGGATTTGGGTGAGACACTCATGCTTTTCAGCTGAAAAAGGCCGGCTGCAGCGCGGGCGTCAGCTCTGCGGTTCGCTCTTCCCCAGCTCTGGGTGCAGGACGTGAGCCATGCCCTGGACGTGAGGACACGCCTGTCTGAGGCCACTCAGGGGAGGGCCACACTCAGGGCTCCTCGCTCCTTCCACACGGGCCCAGGCCGAGCTGTGACCCCGGAGAGCCTGCAGCTCACACGGAAGTAAGTCCCGGAGCCTGGAGCTCTGGGAAGACCGAGAATGGGGAATGCCGCCCTTGGCCCTGGAGGGGTCCTGGGCTCTGGAGGGGTGCAGGGCCCCCGTGGTCCTGCTGGTCCGTGGAGGCTGGGCCAGGCCTCACCTCCCGACCCGATGCCAGAGCTGGAATTTCCTGGACTCCAGTGACCTCAAGGTCATCGCAAACTTGACGCTGACCTGCCATCGTGGCCACAAAATGCTGTTTCTTCCACCTGCAAACGCTCCGGGCAAGGGCTCGGCTCTTCTCTGCGGGGCGGGGCCGGGAGTCCTAGCCTCACGCAGGCTCCTGCTTTCCCCGACACGGCCCAGGCCGGCCACGGGAGCTGCTCCCTGAGGAAGGTGTGCCCTCGCTGCTCTTGTCCGATGGAATTTCAGAGCGAGGCAGCGCTGGGCAGCCCGGCCTTCTTCCGCGGCTTGCAGCACCCTCCCCGGCGCTGCCTCAGGGCTTGGCCAGAGCAGCGTCTCTCACTGCAGGAAGGTGCTTTCCCCTGGTCCCGCCTGCCCACAAGCTGCGGCCTCCACGTGTGCTGCCGGGCCTTGGTCCTCCGGAAGCTGGGTCGCCGGCGGAGGGCCGGACGGCTGGGCTTACTCAGCTTTGGGTCTGGGTCTGCGAGGCGGCAGCAGGTCTCTCCGCGGCTAAAGGCATGTCCCTGGTGCAGAGACGGGAGGCCTGGCCAGGCCTGGGCTGGAGGGGGCACGCCCCCGAGTGCCTACTACCCTTGGGGACAGCAGTGTCTGTCTCGGACCCCCAGGAGGGACCGGGAAGAGGAGGGCTCGCCCACTTCCCGGGCCGCCCCGGGGCAGAAGGCAGCGTCTTCACCCTGAGCCCTGAGCGGGGGCTGGAGGGCGAGCTCCCGGGAGACAGGGCTGTGCCCACTGCACGCGGGGCCCGGACCTGAGTCACCGCCGGAGGAGAGCGTGAGGTGGGAGGGTGTGCCTGGCACCCCCGGGAGAGTGGAGGGTCTGAGAGAACCACAGTGACAGAGGATGGTGCCCACAAGGGCCCGGTCCTCTCCGCAGAATGAAGGCGGAAAGTGAGGCCATTTCCTTATGGGCTGTCAGGCTCAGGCCCCCACTTCCCTCTGGGGAGTCGGATCTGGGCTCCTCCACACCACGTCCTGCATCAGAGGGGGGTCTGGTGTGGAGCACCTGCCTGCGCCAGAACTGGGCATGCTCCACCAGCCGCCCCTCTCTGCAGGCCCGGGGCGAACATTACAGTGGTCTGGGGGCCAGCTGCCCCAGGAGCAGAGGCCTCCTCCCCCACACCCCGCAGTTGAGGGCCAGGCTTTGAGGACTAGCTGAGTGTGGCAGGCCACTGTGCTACTCCTCTTGGGGAGCTGGGGGGCCCCAGGAAAGGCTGCGTTTCACTTGGGCACCGCAGGCTGACCTCCGAGCTGTCCTGAAACGGCCCCCTGGCCAGAGGCCTCACTCATCCGGGTCTCCAGGGTGGCACCATGTACCTGGGCCTTGCAGGGGGCACTGCGGGTTCTGACCTTAGATCCTGGAATAAGGTTCTGGGACCCTCCAGAACCAAGCTCCTCTCCTGCTCTGATATCCTGCCACTGAGGCTGCCTGCCAGAACCCGGGCTTGTCCACCCCTGTGTCTTGTCCTCCATTCCCGCCGAAGAGTGAAGGCTCAGGGCGGTGGGCCTCTGGGGTCCGGGGGGAGGATGGGGGTGTAGGAGACCCTGGCAGGGCCACCATGCAGGGCCCTGGGTAAGACCCAGCCCAGCTTGGCTGTGTGGGTGGTGAGATGCCAGGTGGGAACACATGGCCCCGTCCCTCGTGCTCCCCAGATCACTTCAGGGGCCCTGCCTCCTCCTCCCCCAGGGGCTGAGAGCCCTCCCCGGGCAATCTCCAGGGGACTGGACTGACCCCCCCGCCCCCAAAGCAACGACAGGAGACGTGTGGGGATGTCGGACCCATTTCCCTCCATCTACCTACGTGTGCAGTCCTTCTGGTTTGGGGCAAGGTCAAAGCCGGGCCTGCAGTCGCAAGCCACCCCACCTTTGGGTGTCTCCCGGCAGATGTGGGCACAGCCATGGTCTTTGTTCATGCAGTTCATACCCTCTGGGAAGAGACAGACGAGAGAGGGTTAGGGAACAGAGGAGAGAGAGAGAAAACGTCAGGCTGAGAAGAGACCGCCCATGAAACGTCATGATCACATGGAATGTCCTAAGCTCCAGAAGGGGGCCTCTGGGGACAAACCAAGGACCCAGATGGGGCAGGCACCAGGCACCACAGGGCCCTGAGCCGTGCCTGCTCCTGGGAGCCGGGGAGAGGGCAGCCTGCAGGCAGGGGGCTCCGTCAGGCAGGCTCCCCGCCTCCAAGAGGCTTTCAGGACGGGCTCCCTGGGCCGCTCAGACACCCGGTACCTCGCGGGGCTCCGAGACTCGGCCCTGTGAGGTCTGGTCAGTGGGTGGTGGCGGGGCAGCATCCCTGACCATCATCAGTGGGTCAGGGGGAGCCACACATGTACAGGAAGCTGGAGTGTCAGCTTCTCCCCAGAGTGGACGCCCGCCGCTTCACATGTACTCCACGGCTGTAACCATCCCCCAAGTGCCCACCACTCCCGCCTTCTCGGACACAAGCCCTGTCCTGCCGCCACCCCCCAGCTCCGCAGACCTTCCCACTCCGGGCGATGCTCCTGCCCCCCCTCCAAGTTAACCCTCAGGGCACCCCAGGGCGGCACAGGAGACTGATGCCCCCGAGCAGGGCTGTGCTCCTCCCTGAGCCGGGACCTCCAGTCCCAGTGGGGGGCCACAGCTCACAAGCCCCCCCATAATCCCCCATCTTCACAACATAAACCTGGCCCTGGGGAGCGCACTGGCCCAGACGTGGGACACTATTGAGGGTTCAGCTTTAGAATCGCTCCGCTTTCGCCCACTTGGGGGACTCGCCAGGGGCCTGAGCGCTTCCGGAGGCACCTGCTTCCTGAGGAGATGTCATGTGAGCCGCCCTGGGCCAGAGTGCTCCCCAGCAATCCGGCCTTCAGGGCCCGGGGCCAGCCTGGCCGGGCTGCCTGCCAGGTCAAACCTAATTGGATCCAGCCCTCCAAACCCAATTATGTCCTGCAAACTCGGGCCGAGTGTCTCGCTGGTGCCCAGGATGGGCGGCGAGCCAGGAGACAGATGCTTAGCCGCGACCCCGCCAGCTTCTGATTCAGGCTCTGCCAGCTGCTGCGGGACCCAGGCCGTCATGTCACCCCTCTGAGCTCTAACTCCCACCTGTAAACGCGGGGTCACAGGACCTGCCTCAGCGCTCATGCAGGTGCACTCCTTGCTCTGGCCACGGAGGCAGCTCAGGGCGAGGCGAGGACTGGAGGGACTCCTCCTTGGCAGGGGGGAGGGGGGCGGGAAAATGGTAAACAGGCCAGAGTGCTGGACGCTCGCTGCAGGGAAGCAGGCACACTGCAGGCCAGAAGCAGGCGGAGGCTGGGGGATCACGGTGAGAGAGAGGAAGGAGCCTGAGGGGATGGGAACCGAGGAGGCTGGATTTAGGACACGTCTCCGAGCCCCTTTCTATGAGGGTCCAGATGTGACACGGGGACGTGGGCTCTGCCTATACTTCAGTGTAACCACCCTCACCATGAGCCTGTGGGTGGGCACTGCCAGGCCATGTCACAAACAAGCACAGGGAGGTTGGCTGAGGGGGGAGAGAGATGTGCCCGGGCCACATGTGTGAGAGGCAGAGCCACGGCCTTGGCAGCGCCGTCCTCTCCCGAGTGCCCAGTGCTTCCTCCTGTGGGCCCCGTGACAGGCCTGGCTGCCCTTCCCCATCTCTACCCCATCTTCTCCAGGTCTGTCCCAAACGCCTCCCAGCATGACACCCCCCCGGAAGGTGCAGAGTTCAATGGTGGCAGGATCTGCCTGCCCCTGACAGTGTGAACGTGGCGTTCCGCAGAGCAAAGTTCACAGCCGCGTCTGAGCAGGGCCGCACTGTCTGCCCCAGGGTGACAAAGCCGGAGTACGTGCCCGCCAAGGGTCGTTGCTATGGCGACTTCATCATAACATCACTTTCTGTATCCGAGTCCTTTACACCCGGGAAGGGAAGGCAAGGGGAACAGAGAGCAGGGAGGAAAGAACAACTACTTGCTCTGCCCCTGCCTCCCCAGCTCCCACCCATCAACAGAGACTTCTGCAGCCCAGAGAGGCTGTGGCCGTGGGGGTGGCGGGAGTGGCCGTGGGGGTGGCGGGAGTGGCCGTGGGGGTGGTGGGAGTGGCCGTGGGGGTGGTGGGAGTGGCCGTGGGGGTGGTGGGAGTGGCCGTGGGGGGTGGAGTGCGTGGGGGTGGTGGAGTGGCCGTGGGGGTGGCGGGAGTGGCCGTGGGGTGGCGGGAGTGGCCGTGGGGGTGGCGGGAGTGGCCGTGGGGGTGGCGGGAGTGGCCGTGGGGGTGGCGGGAGTGGCCGTGGGGGTGGCGGGAGTGGCTGTGGGGGTGGCGGGAGTGGCCGTGGGGGTGGCGGGAATGGCCATGGGGTGGCGGGAATGGCCGTGGGGGTGGCGGGAATGGCCATGGGGTGGCGGGAATGGCCGTGGGGGTGGCGGGAGTGGCCGTGGGGGTGGCGGGAGTGGCCGTGGGGGTGGCGGGAGTGGCCGTGGGGGTGGCGGGAGTGGCCGTGGGGGTGGCGGGAGTGGCCGTGGGGGTGGCGGGAGTGGCCGTGGGGGTGGCAGGAATGGCCATGGGGTGGAAAGAATGGCCGTGGGGGTGGCGGGAATGGCCATGGGGTGGCGGGAATGGCCGTGGGGGTGGCGGGAGTGGCTGTGGGGGTGGCGGGAGTGGCTGTGGGGGTGGCGGGAGTGGCTGTGGGGGTGGCGGGAATGGCCATGGGGTGGCGGGAATGGCCGTGGGGTGGCGGGAGTGGCCGTGGGGGTGGCGGGAATGGCCGTGGGGGTGGCGGGAATGGCCATGGGGTGGCGGGAATGGCCGTGGGGGTGGCGGGAATGGCCGTGGGGGTGGCGGGAGTGGCTGTGGGGGTGGCGGGAGTGGCCGTGGGGGTGGCGGGAGTGGCTGTGGGGGTGGCGGGAGTGGCCGTGGGGTGGCGGGAGTGGCCGTGGGGGTGGCGGGAGTGGCCGTGGGGGTGGTGGGAGTGGCCGTGGGGGTGGCGGGAGTGGCCAGCCAGCAGGCCGCCCAGGCTACAGGGAAGACGAACACTCCCGCGGTGGCGGAGAGAAGAGCCCCCGGAGGGCCTGCCTCGGGAAAGGCACAGGGACGGCCCGGGACGGACTGGGGGAGAGCACGGTGCCGCGTGCTTTAATGAAAAACGCTGAGCCGGAAAGAGGTCAAAGCTGAGGTGCCGCGGAGTGAGGCGAGGGGCAGTGAGGGGCAGATCGGGGGCACTGAGGAAGCAGGTGGCTCTGGGCTGCAGGCTGGGCACTGTGCATCTCCTCCAGCCCCAGGAGCACCTGCCCGGCTCTGCCGGTGTGCAGAGGAGAGTCGGGTGAGGAAAGAATGGCACCTTCTAGGGACTCGGAGTGGGGCAGCGGGGGACCTGTGCTCCCAAGGAGGCGACGGGCATTGGTGCGGGGGGAGGAGCAGGGAAGCCCCGTGCCCTTCTCTGCGTGGACTGCCCGCGGTGATGGGAGCCCGGCCTTCCTGCTCCGTCCACACTTCCGCATTCAGCTCCCCAAGCCCATCTCCAACGCCAGCTTCTCTGGAGCACCTCATTCCTCGCCCGGCCCACTCTGTGCCCCCAGAACCCCCACCCACGCTTGCGGAGGCTGGAGCACGCCGGTTCCTTCCCGAGCGCCCAGCCCAGCCCAGGCCTGGCCAGAGAACAGACCTCCCAGACCTGCGAGAGGCGGCTTTCCCGCCGCTGCACAGAGCAGCCCGAGCGCCTCAGCGATGGGCCCGTCCCAGAGCCAAATCAGACCCTGTGCCCAAATTACCCTCCGGGAAACCCCAGGCCTGGCTGCCCCAGACACCCCCAGCCGCACCCCCAGTGGCAGCCCCACCTGGGAAACGGGGCTTCCTCTGACCCAGAGCTCTTCAGCGCCCGGACCTGTGCCAGGCTCTTTGCAATCATCTCCATGACTGAGTGCCGGGTGGCATCAGCCGGTCCCTGGCAGGCGATGATGCTGAGGCTCAGAGAGGTCTCCCCCAAACCCCAGCCACTTCAACAGCAGGCCCAAAGGGGTCCCCGCCCCTTGGCCAAATGCTCACTCGGCTGCCTCGTGGCCCTCAAGGGGCCTCTGCTCCTCCTTCTCCAAGTCCGGAAGCGACCCCCGGGCGGACGGGCCCGGTGCACGTGACAGCGGACGCAGGGAGAGCTGAGGGTGGCTGGCTCCTGGTGTCCCAGGTGATAGCAGAGAGGGTGCCTGGCCTGCCTTCTTGGGAAACAGGATGGACACATGGCTCCCACCTGGTGCCTCGCCTAACCCTGCCTCTGGGAGCCCGACGACAGAGGACCGCACGCAGTCTGCAGGCGAGCGTGGGGATAGCGTGGGAGGTGCCCCCAGCGTGGCCTCACGTCCCCCTCCGGCGTGTAATGTGTGTGGCCTTGGAACCTGCTCAGTCTCCTCCCAGAGGAGGAGGAGGAGGAGACGAGGAGGAAGGTCAGTAAAGGGTTGTAAAGAGGCGATGGCTCCAGCTCAGGGCCCTCCGACAGGCACCTGGTGACACAGCTGGTGCCCAGTCCCCTCGCTCTGCACTGGGTACTTTGTGTGCTGGTCCCCACAGAGCCTCCCTCGCCCTCCGCCCACGCCCTCCACCCCGCCCAGGGCTCACCTTCCCTCCCTCCGCCCTGAACTTCCCTGGCTGGTCACTAGGCGGCACCAGGAGCACGTCCAGGCCTCGGGGCCCAGGGGGCTGGGACAGAGGCCGCCAGAGGCCTCTGAGTTTTCAATCCTTCCCTCTGCAAGGGCTGCCAGATGCAGCGATAGAAACACAGGCAGCCCATGTGTCTCTCTCATCTCATTCCAATCACCGAGTACTAATGTTCGTCCCGTTATAAGGTAAGCAACCGAGGCCCGGACTTGTGGCCGAGAAGAGAGCCAGGACAGGGGCATCTGCCTCTTGGCCTGGGGCCCGCCCTCTGCCCTGCACTCCACACGCTGGGGGCCGGGGGTGTGCGGC